ATTTATTTCTTTGCATGTCTGTATATGTGTGTGTGTGTGTTTATTTCTTTGTGTGTCTCTGTGTGTGTGCGCACGTGTGTGTGTGAGATAAATATACATGAAGCAACACAGTAACTGATATTTTGAAGAATGTTAGAAACCTGTAACCATTGCCTTCCATAGTATTTCTTTTCTACAGTGGAAGTCAATGGTTACAAGTCTCCAACATTCTTCAAAATATCTTCTTTTGTGTTCAACAGAAGAAAGAAACTCGGGTTTATAACCACTTGAGGATGAGTAAATAGTAAGTAAATGTTCATTTTTGCGTGAACTATCCCTTTAAGAATAATAGTTTGGATAGAAAGAATGCTAGTTACATGGATATTAGTTAATTACTCGTTAATATTTAATCATTTGATCATCAAAACAGATGTTGCCGTGCCTCACTTAAATTACGACTGTGAGGCTGATTTAAAGCGCCATGATTTCATTTGCTTTATTTGAAGACAGTGGGGGTTTTGATCGAGGTTTGGTTGATGTAACTTGAAAAATAAAAGACTTGTGCTCTGAGATGTATCGCAAACCTAATTTGTGGCAATTAAAATAAACTAAAAGGCTGATTGGCTGGCATTTAAATGGAGGTTGCTGATTGGTTCTTAAAAATCTCGGATACTTTGCACTTCTCAATATAATTAAACATGAGAAACTGGAACGCAACTATTTTCAGGTCATACTGGAGAGTGTAGAGAGCTGCGAGCGAGTCAGCTTAAATTCATTGAGTTGAACAGGCTCAGTGGTTATCACTGTGGCCTCACAGCAAGAAGGTCGCTGGTTCGAGCTTCGGCCTGGTCAGTTGGCGTTTCTGTGTGGAGTTTGCATGTTCTCCCCGTGTTGGTATAGTCCAAACACATGCGCTATTGGGGAACTGATAAACTAAATCGGCCGTAGTGCATAAGTATGTGTCAGAATGAGTGTGTACAAATGTTTTCCAGTACTGGGTTGCAGCTGGAAAGGCATTCCACTGCATAAAACATATGCTGGAATAGTTAGTGGTTCATTCCACTGTGGCGACCCCTGAAATAGAGACTAAGCTGAAGGAAAATGAATGAACAGGATCAGTCTGAATTATTCCGATGTGTGTTTTTTTTTTGTTATGACGCGGTGTGCTAGTGTGGGTTTCGGGATTTTCTTCAAACGTTTGGCTTTAGATCACAGCATGATGTTGAGTAGTGTAAAGGCTGATTTATACTTCTGCGTCAGACGTCGGCGTATGCTGCGGTGCTGACGCATAGCCCTTCGCCGTGGCCGTCGCCGTCAATGACGTGCACCTCTCAAAAAATGTAACTACAGGGTTCAACGCTAAGGATTTTTTCTACTGGCCCGATTGGACCAGTGGTTCAAATTTTTACTTGCCCTGCCAAAATTTTCACTGGCCCCATAAAAGAAATAAAAAAGTTAGCCACATATATTAAATAATGTTTCACGAAATAATGTCAGGCGGTTCATTCCACTGTGGCGACCCCAGATTAATAAAGGGACAAAACCGAAAAGAAAATGAATGAATGAAAAAAATGTCAGTAGTTGTATAATTTAAATATTTGAAAAATATTTAGCAGTAAAATATAGCAGTATGGAAAACGTGCACGTATTTGATCGCAAAACAAAAGGTGGCTGACTTAAAAGTGATTGAAAACTAAGCAAAACATCACCTTCATTTTTTTCGTCATGCTGCACCCATTTAAATGTTTCCACAAAGTTAGAAACAGACATTTCCTTTAGCCTCATAATTTAATGTCGTGGTCATGTTGCCATCCATTAAAATTTAGTGACAAGGCAGCACTGCCCCGATCGGGCCAGTAACAATTCTGTCCACTGTCCCGAGCATCTCTCACACTGGCCCCGGGCCATCAAGCAGTCCTTATTGTTGAGCCCTGAACTACACGTCGCAACGACGCGTAGCGCAAGCTCTGTGATTGGTCGGCTTGGTATCGCTGATGAGTCTGGGCGGGACCGAGAGCCGCGCGAATGGCGCGAGCGATTTTTGTTACAAGTGTGGAGTCCCGTGAAGGAGCTCCGGATGGAAAGTTTTGTTTTGTGTTTACCTCATAGTTAAAGTTGCTGCACGTCCGCCGGTTCCTGCCTCAAAATGAGTGAGTTTGAGCCACTTGTACATCCCGGAAGTGTCCAGGAAAAGCAATACAGCAGCGAAGAAACTCGACACAGAGGAGCATTAACACCTCACTGCCAACTAGCGTTTCGGAAGTGTTAATGCAGACCAACAGAGACAGCGCGCAGAAGTATAAATGCACAGCCACGCGCGTTGCCTGCGCCGTGAGTTACGCCGGTCACTTAACGCAGAAGTATAAACCAGGCTTAAGTGTTACAGTAAATTCAGGTTGAACACAAGGCGACTCTTTCTAGTCTACAGTGCATTCAATGGCTTTATGAAAGTACATTTAATACACTGTAGAAAATGAAGCGCTCCACACAATTCATTCATGTCGACGAAACAGAAATCAATCAAGTTAACCTAACAAATATAAGTGGATTGAACTTAAAACTATTAAGTTGTCCCACAGAAACCTCAAGAATTGTGTTGATTCAGCTCATTTTACTGTAAGCAAGCAGTTTGGGCAAACAGCTAAAGTAATTTTTTGAGTGTACATGACAGTGACACGCTATTAATGGCGTGTCAGAATCCACTTTTACTATTTTAAGGACGGAAAAATCTGCTTTGCGCCGTGGCGCATGGTCTAACAGGGTTGAGCTTATTCTCTTAATGAGTTATAGGTGTGTTTTGAGAATAAACCAATCAGAGTCTCATCTCCCATTCCCTTTAAGAGTCAGCTGCGTCGCTCCATAACGCATTTGCTATTTACATGACGGACTCTGTAAGTGTAAAAACTGAACACGTCACTAACGAGAAAACAGAGCATCTGCAGCACGAGAACAAGAGATGAGCCTCCTCATTGTTTACTTTCACTCTGGTGGATAGGGAAACGTGTCATACGCACAGACATCCATTAGCCTATAAATAATTAATTTTGTTTGTTAAGCGCAAATATTCGTTTCAAAACTATTTCTAAATTCAGTTCTAATTTCCAGCAAACGAATAAATGAACAATAATAATGAAGTGTGCTCAAAAACCTGAGTTATATCCTAAAACACATGCTGTGCCCCATATGGTCTAAAACCTGACAGGTGGACAAATCTAAGCTTGTTTTTAATAAAAACAGGGTCCCCGCGGGGTCTTAAAAAGTATTAAAAAGTCTTAAATTAAAAAATTGAAATTTATGGCTTTAAAAAGTCTTTAATTTGCTGTTCTAGGTCTTAAATATTTTTGCATAGGTCTTGTTTTTGCGATGTCCATGTAACGCTACATCTAATGCTCATTTCAATTCTTTTTGTTGTTGTTGCTAGGTTTTTGGGGTGTTGTAGTTCTTTATTTCACAAGTCCAATTGTAATTTGCGGTATTACAACTACAAAAAAGTCAACTTGCAATAGCCAATCAGCTTTCTGTTATTAAACTCAGTGCGTCATCGATGTGTTTGCGGAAGTTCGCTTTGAATGCGCGCGACATGATTTCGACTGGCAGAGTATGCCGTTATTTCACTGACAAATGTCGCAAGCGCAGTTTTATAAGTAGGGATCGCTGTAATGCGAGAGAGCGAAATTTAAATAACTTTATTTTACCCCTAATTTTGTGCTTTTACATTTACATTTAGTCATTTAGCAGACGCTTTTATCCAAAGCGACTTACAAATGAGGACAAGGAAGCAATTTACACAACCAAGAGCAACAATGAATAAGTGCTATAAGCAAGTTTCAGGTCTGTAAAGTCTAAGAAGGCAAGTATTAGTAGTATTAGTATTATTTTTATTTTTTATTTATTTATTTTTTTTTTTGTACAGTTAGTGGTATATTCAGAGAGGCAATTACAGATTAGGAAGTGTAGTGGAGACTAAATAGTTGAGTTTTTAGTCGTTTCTTGAAAATAGCGAGTGATTCTGCTGTTCTGATGCAGTTAGGGAGTTCATTCCACCAACTGGGCAGATTGAGCGTTCGCGAAAGTGATTTCTTCCCTCTTTGGGATGGAACCACGAGGCGACGTTCATTCACAGAACACAAGTTTCTGGAGGGCACATAG